TAGAGACGGGGTTTCACCATGTTGACCAGGATGGTCTCGATCTCTTGACCTCGTGATCCACCCGCCTCGGCCTCCCAAAGTGCTGGGATTACAGGCTTGAGCCACCGCGCCCGGCACGTAATTTAATTTTTAATGATGGCTATGCTTGACTGCCCCATGACATGACTGAAATGTGGACAGCTGGCTCTCCCAAGCAGGTCCAAATTGGCCCCAGACCTCCATGATGCCATGCTGTACGCTCTCATCCAGGGCACCAGGAGCTGCTCTGAGAACTCTGTGGGGCTGGCATCAGCCTGCCTTCTCGTCCCAGGTGTCACTCTTTGGAACATCATGTTTAAGCAGGGGCTGCCTCTGGGTTTCTCTGTGTAGCCCATGTTCAATCCTAGGGACCCTCACTCCTGGCCCCTTGGTCTGCTAGTCACCTCCCACTCAAGGTTAAAAAGCACAGGGTTTCTAGCCAGGTGTGGTGGCATGCACCTGTAGTCTCAGCTACTCAGGAGGCTGAGGCAGGAGAACTGCTTGAACCTGGGAGTCGGAGGTTTCAGTGAGCAGAAATTGGACTACTGCATTCCAGCCTGGGAGACAGAGTGGGACTCCGTCTCAAAAACAAAACAAAACAAAACAAAACAAAACAAAAAAACACAAAGCCCAAGGTCTCAGTGGCTTACAAGCGCGTTTAGGTCTTGCTCATGCTGCATGTCTGTCATGGGCTGACTGATGGCAGCTCTGGGCAAGTCATCTCCACTCTGAGATCCAAGTTGAAGGCACAGCCCTTATTTGGGACACTTCCTGTCTCCTGGAAGAGATAAAAGTGAACCTTGGAACATCATGCTGACTCTTCAGGTTTCTCCTTAGAGGTGGCACCCCTCATTCATGCTCCCGTCATTGACCAAAGCAAATCACATGGCCGAGCCTGGTGCAAAGGTGTGTGGAGTGCCGCGCCCTCTGGGGAGGGGCGGTACACATTTCAGGCAGGAGGAATGTCTACTTTGGCTGCTCTATTATTACTCAGCCCCTCCTACAAACTGGAGGTCATGCAGGGGTTTCACACATGACCCTGGCCTGCTGTCCCAGGTGTCGTCACCCCCAGCTGGGCCAGAGTCCTCCATTCAGAGCCTGGTGAGTGGGGGCCATTTTGAAAGCGTAGAGATTAGCTAAACCCGGCAGGCGCCAAATCTCAATCATTCTTGGCCACAGCCCACTCTGTTCATCCACCCACTGACAACCCCATCCCCATGAGCCCCAGAAACCCGCCATCCATGGCCTCCAGTCTCTCCTAATCCCAGCCTCCTCCCACAGCCTCCAGTCTCTCCTAATCCCAGCCTCCTCCTCCCTTGTTTCCACACTCTCCTGATCTCAGCCTCCTCCCCTGGCCTCCAGTCTCTCCTAATCCCAGCCTCCTCCTCCCTTGTTTCCATACTCTCCTGATCTCAGCCTCCTCCCCTGGCCTCCAGTCTCTCCTAATCCCAGCCTCCTCCCCTGGCCTCCACGCTATCCTAATCCCAGCCTCCTCACTCTCCTAATCCCAGCCTCCTCTCTGAATGGGTTGCCTCCTCCTGTGCTGGGTGTTCTCTGTAGACTCAAATTATCCACCTCCATCCTGCTCCTCCCACAATGCCCACCCACAGCAGGGCCCTCGGATCCACCAAGGCCCTGGTCATCCTGCCCCTCCCTTCTTCATGCCTCCCTCCCTGCCCAGTTACAATCCCCAAGTCTTGTCGATTTTAACCCCAGAATGTCCCGCAAATCCTCCACTCCTCTCCATCCCATTGTCCTGCCCTGGTCTGGCCTCGGTCACCACCAAAGGTCTCCTAACTGGGCCTGAGAATTTTTCCTTTGTCCCTTTTCATCCATTCTTTGCACTGAAGCCAGATGGCCTGAGAGAGGCCATCTTTTCCTGGTCTCCCTCCCGTTGAAAGTGCCCTCTTGACGTGAAGTCGCCCCATTGTCCAGACGCTCCTCTCTCCCCTGCCCATGGCTCAGTCCTCAACCCTCTTGTTCGTTGGCCACAGCTCCAATCAACATCTCTGGGTGGACTCACTTCCTCTCCTGCCCACTCAGATTCCCAGCTGGCTGGTGGACATCTGCCTGCAGAGATGCCTGGGCAACCCCAACTTAATGTGTTCCACATCCACATCCAAACTCCTGATTGCTGCCCTCCCAGCCCCCTCCCTCTCTCTCCACTCCTGACTGCTGCCCTCCCAAACCCTTCCCTCCTTCTCGAGAGCCCCATCCTTGGGCCTCCTCATTACAGGGTCTCCAGCTGCCACACCAGCTCTGCCGTCCTCCTCTCCCTCAGCTCCACAGGCCATCATGGGGCCCTCCCCACCTCCTGCTCCCAACACCACCATCCTGGTTCTCCTTCCCAAGTGCTGAGCACAGGGCCCTGGAAAGCGCACGCTGAGACTGTGAGAATGAGCCGCCGTTTGCCTCAGCCGTTCACTCATCCAACAGTGATTTATTGAACACCATGGACCAGGCATGGTGCACAGCAGCTGGGATGCAGCGCTGAACAAGAGATGAGCCCCCCGCCCTGGATGGACTCATATCCCAGCAGGGGTAAACAGCCAGTCACTTCAGAAACCAAATCTCTGGTCCGTCAGAGTGCCACAGGAAAGTTACACTGAGCAAGGGCAGGCAGTGCCAGGCAGGGGTGCCACTGCACAGGGTGAGGGGGAGGCCCTCCTCCCTGGAGAGGGCGGCATGATCCTAGTGGGCCGAGGTCAACCACCAGTGCCAAATGGAACACAGCTCACACTCTCAGGAAGATATCCCAAATCAAAATCCTGGGACTTTCTTTTTTTTTTTTTTTTTTTTTTTTTTAAATTAAAAAATGTTTTTTTTTTTTTTTTTTTTTTTTTTTTTTATAAATTAGAGACAGGTTTCACCATATTAGTCAGGCTAGTCTTGAACTCCTGACCTCAGATCCACCTCCCTCGGCCTCCCAAAGTGCTGGGATTACAAGCGTGAGCTACCACACCCAGCTGGGACTTTGTTTCTTAACCTTTAAACTGGAAACACTTCTTGCTACCAGGATGGGGCCTGGAGCATGCAGCATGGGGCTCGGTGTTTGGGGAAACAGAGTGGGTGTCTTTTGCTGAACAGACTTTTGTTTTCTTAAGTTTTGAACTACATGAATGTATTTCCTTTTTTGAAAGGAAAAATTGAAATAGGAAAGAATTTTAAGTCTTTTGGAAAGAATTAATCATTTTCATGGAACTACTTCCCTATAGGGGGCCTGTTTTCACATCTGCCAACTTCTGCTGAAAGACTGCAGATGGAGAGAAGGGAGAGTCGTAACCCTGAAGATGGCATTCACCAGCCTACCAGTGCCAATGCCACCATGCTGGCATGTGAGTACGGCGCACCCTGGGCTAACAATTACCACAGTGAGACTGGCCCCCTGTTACGGGAGGGGAGACTCAGGAAGGTGAAAATCAGAACATCTGCCAGGAGCCGACAAATCCTTCTGGGACTCTCATACCTCAGAGACTCTCCAGTTTGGCTATTGCTAAACGTGGACTAGCCCCACCTCTGATCTGAATATTCATGCCAATCATTGCTGCATCCTATTTGGAACGCCCTTACTAAAGACTGGTCCACAAGATGAGATTTAGCTGTGCTGGTTCAAACCTGGCTCCCCTGCTGTCTTTTCTGGTGAAGCTGGGTGAAGAGGGTTTTACCAAGTGGGCTCCATGGTGGTGGAGGCGGTGGGGAGAGAAGGCTGGCTCTATATGTGGCAGAGGCCTGAATAAACAAGGATCTGAGAGGGCTCAAGATACCCTGAGTTAGTCCTCAATGTGGCAAGTAGGGGGCCATGGCCAGGCCTAGCAGAAAGGGGGCTGTTTGGGGTAGGGCCCAGCAGGGCGCGATGTGATCAGGTAGAAGTAGGAAATGGGTTACTGTCCTGTAACTATTCCATATATCACAAAGCCACTGACTGCAGTCTCCGCAGATGCAGGCTGCTAGTCCGATGAGAGACTCAAAGAATGAGGCAGCCCTGTTCCTAGTTTCAGCCAGTGCATGTCATGTCCAGGCCCCAGAGGGGCGACACCAGCTCAGGTTCCCACCCTCCAGAAGCTGGCACAGGTGGCAGTGGGTTTCCTATGGAGGCAGCTCATTCATAACGCATAATGAACCTTCTGTTCCTGTCAGGAGAATATATTTTAAACTGGAGAAGAGTCATAATTCTGGGATGTTCCACATGTTGTCAGCTTTAACCTGCTACAGTCACAGGACCTCGCCTCTGTGAGGAGGAACCACTGGCATGTGTGGGTGTGGAGGGTCCCTTTCCCTATTAGCAGGAATATGGTCTGTGCTAGCTTTATGATTTGGATTGTGTCCTGCACATAACACCTGTGAGAACAGAAGTGGGACTGGGGCAGTGCAGGGAGCGTCTTCTTCATGAGGTGGTAATCAAAAGGTTTGGCAATACAAGAGGATTCTGGAGGCCAGGCATGGAAGCTCATGCCTGTAACGCCAGTACTTTGGCAGGCCGAGGCGGCTGGATCGCTTGAGGTCAGGAGTTCGAGACCAGCCTGGCCAACATGGTGAAACCCTCTATCTGCTAAAAATATAAAAACTATCCAAGTGTGGTGGTGGGTTCTTGTAATCCCAGCTACTGGGAAGGCTGAGGCAGGAGAATTGCTTGAACCCGGGAGGTGGAGGTTCCAGTGAGCTGAGATCCTGCCACTGCCACTCCAGCCTGGACAGCAGAGCAAGACTTTATCTCAAAGAAACACAAAAGGATTCTGAGTATAACAATCTCAGTAAAGCCAGCGGGTGACTCTGGTTCTCCTAAAATCCTGTCCTTACTTGCCACTCACCACATCCCCAGATCTGTAGGGCCAGCCCTTTTCTACCTGCCTCTGACCCCTCACCAGCAAGGGAAGGCCATGGGATCTCAGAAGCCTGTGGTGCTAAGGATGAAGACTCTAGTGAGAGAAGGGGCTTGGCCCTAGTGAGGAGGTTCTGGGAAGCAGGACATTCCCTTGGGAGCGCCCGTGTGAGAGGTAAAGGTCCAAGTGGCTTGGGCACGCTGACTTCCTGCTGAGGAAGGCAGGGCCCCTCACATCTGCAGTGGCCGTGTGCATCAGAGAGCGGCATGGCTGCAAATGTGAGAACTGGGTCAACAGGAATCCCGTCCCCATTCCATGTCAAACAGTCTTCCCAAGACACAAAGATTCTGGGATCTCAGGCTTCCCTCTTCTAAGGCTCAAAATGGGTTCTGTTTCCAGATGTGCTCATCTTTGCTTGCCTTAAGGACTCAATTTCAGCCCAATCCTTGACCCTCAGACAAACTGGGACAGGTTGGGAACTTTAATGTTGAGATCGCCAATGTTGATGTTCCGAGGAATCTCAGGCAGGTTGATGTTTTTCACGGCAGACACGGCCCGTGCAGGGGCTGCTGAAAGGCCACCCTGAGAAGAAATGAGAGGTGAGTATCAGACAAATTCTCAGTGTTATCTGCTTAATGCAAAAAAAAAAAAAAATAAAAAAAAAAAAAAAAAAAAAAAAAAAAAAAAAAAAAAAAAGCAAAAACAAAACAAGAAACCAAATAACAGGTGAGGGATCCCTAGAAAAATTCTAAACTGAGCACATACAACAGAAGTTTTAATTCCCCCCCCTTATTCCTCAAAAGTAGCCAACAAAACGATCTTGAGGTTACATGGGGTTTGGCGCAGGGATGCAAGGCCTGCAGTCCCACCAGACACCCGCTCCTCAGAGGGGGGTGTGGCCTGTGCAGTTTCACAGCACCAGCATCTCACAGTGCCTGGTACATGGTGGGTGCTCAATAAATGCTGAAATCATCTCAGGTGGTTTGTCAGGGGCACTTTTTGCAAGAGACTGAAGATTCTTATTGAAAAGTGCAAAGTCACAGGGAAATTCTTAAAAGGAAAAGGAAAGTCACAGCTCTAGAGCAACTGCTTGCCAACTAACGTGCGATGAAGAGAGCTGGCTTTGGACGTGTCATGTGGCAACAAGCTGGGGGTCAGTAACATGCAGAAGGTGGGGGTCACAGATACAGAAGGGCTGGTGACAAAGTGCAAAGAGTACGGACATCTACAGCCAATCCCACCTGCCAGGCTCACCCTCATGTGGGGAGAAGGGGAAAGGTGGATGAAGACTGTCACAATCCTTCTTCCCCTATTGCTTTCTTTCCTAATACCAACTCCGATTCCGCCCTCACCCAGCAAGTCTCCATTCCTTCTCATTTCTAACCCTCTTGCCTCTGACTCACTTACTATTCCTGGAATCTTCCCAGCCTACATTTCTGAAAGAACTATAGCTGCCACAATAGCTGTGGTCTGGAAAAGCTTCTTCAGCAGGACTGCCAGTCCTCACAGAAAGAAGAATTCCTGGTTTCGCAAGATCAAGTTCCGTTATACAAGGCAAAGAAGCTCTTTAAGACACTCAGATAATTAAAGAGGTAATTTGGTCAGCTATTTCTGCATGTGAAAGTATACATGTGTAACCTCTGCACCCTGGTAAGGCTAAGGAAGGGGATGGAGAGACCTCAGAGGGAAGGGACAGAATTCACATGAACATCTGTACCAAAACCAGCACCATGTGGGGGTGGACTGGGGTATGTTATTTCCAAACCTAGCCCAGACTCTACTGTTGTTTTTTATAAGGCTAACTGGAAATAAGGAAACTGGCAACTCTGAGGTCTGAAAGACACCACGAGAAATGGCTGCTGGGAGATGAGACTCAGAGAGCACAGAAACTAGGAAACCACACTGCAATAGAAGGAGAGGGCTCTGGGTCCCTCCAGGGAGCCAGCGGCTTTGAAAGGAGGAATTACAAACCACAAACATGGGCCATAGCCCCCAGGCCAGAATCTGTGTGCCTTCCTCTGCCATCTGGCTTTTCCATTCACTCTTCTACCCTGGAAGTCTGAGGTTTCAATCCTTGTTACCTGTTCAATTTTCGAGGCTGGTTGACCTTCAAATCTATCAGTTTCAATGGACTCAAGGAAGAAAGAAGATGAGTATAAAACATTTCCTGAGGTTTCACAGCAACATAAACCAACATATATACACCCTTCTGCTTTTGCCCAGATTTTCTCTAACCAGCCAGGGCTAGAGCACAGCTGCTTGCTCACCTCGGATTTCTCCAGCCTGTTTTGAGCTTCAATCTGAGCCACGATTTCATTCATGTTTGTTTCCAACACCATCCCACCCATTACCACCTCCTGGAGGATGTAGTGTACCTAAAGGGGAAGCAGAAACCAGAAGAGTCAGGAAAGTCTGTGGTGGTCAGGGTGTAGCCCACAAGGTTTCCTTGTCCTGCAGCAGCAGAGTGGTCAGATACGACACCAGGGCCTGATTCACAACTCAGACACTCAAGCCCTCCTGCTCATCCACCTCTTCAGGGATACCACAAGGGGTCCCTCCCAGGTCTTGGCATATCACAACATGAATCTCTCCCCTCAGCAGGGATAGAAGTAGATGCCTGGCTACACTCAAGGCAGAGGTGGTAGCACGAGCACAGGCTTCAAAGTCACACAGCTCTTGTTTAAATTCCGGCTCTGCTACTTGCTACCTGGGTGGCCCTGGGCAAATTATCTTTAAAGTGCTTCAGCTTCCTTCCAGGATTGCAGTGAGGGCTGGATGAGATAAATGTGTGTAGTGCACCTAGCCTGCTACCCAGGACACACTGTGTTCTAAGTAAGAAATGATGGCTTTCACTATTAATATTATCACCATCTACACTGACTGTCATTAAGTAGTAGGTCCAGCTATGACAGAATAATCCCTATCCAAGCAGCTGAAATGAACGTCTCCCACCTTCCACAAGGCAGATCCTCCAGCCTGGGCTCCAATGGAGGGACGTGATCAGAGCAAGATAGAGCCCAATTCCTTTGCAGCCATCCTTACCTCATTTCTTACCACTTAGATTAGAAAGCAAATTCAGCATAAACACCTTTCTAAGCATGAGGCTCACCTTTGGGCTCAGGTTCCACCCAGCTAGTGGTCCAACAAAGCCGAATCTCAGTGTACCAGTGTGTTCAGTCAAGTTGGTAAGATAGCAAGTACAACCTTCTATTATTAACTAATTGCCAAATGATTGGGATAGTCCTAGGGGAGGTCAGAGAAGAAAGGGAACAGTGGCTAGAGAGATGAGAGAGCTTCACAGAGACAGTGGGAGGGCTGAAGCTGGGCTCTGACCTCAGAGAAGCAGGGAAAAAAAGTTCAGGTAGAAGGCATTGGAAGGAGCAGTTCAGCTGGCGTATGGGCAGGTATGCGGAGCTCCTGGATCTGGCTGGGATGGCAACTTTATTTACGCAAGAGAGAGCCTAAGACAAGGCTGAGAATATAGTTTGGGTTGAGAATATAGTTTCTGGAACAGGGCTTCTCAGCCAGGTGCTAGTGACATTTGGGGCTGGATAATCCTCTGCTGTGGGGCTGTGCTGTCACTGTGGCCTGTTCACTAGCATCCCTGGTCTCTACTCATTAGGTGCTAGTGGCACTCCTCCAGCTTGGCCATCAAAAATGTCTCCAGAAGTGTCATATGTGTTTCGCGGTCAGACTCACCCCAGCTGAGAACCACTGGTCTAGGGTCTAGAGGCAACCAGCAGTTGACTGTGTAAGCAATGGAGAGTGAAGAAGAAAGATATGTCTGCGCGTCTGGGACTTGTGTACTTTTGGCATCTGAAGTCCTCTGGCATTGGCTCGGCTCCCTGTATTTTACCCTCAGTAAGTGCAAGGACTTCTGATCTTGAGGACACAGTGAAATAAATCAAATGTATTCCTTGTATGTGTGCCCACACAGCCTTATCAACCACTGTTCTGTCTACATACACACACTCTCTCATGAGGCGTTTTCGCATTTTATATGAATTATTCATTAGCTATATCCAAATGAAGATTTAATGGTAAAAGTCTCATATTTAGATAATTTACAAAATGTTAAACAAGACCGGTTTTAAAATTATTGCCTGGGGAAATTCCACTGTTTATATTTCCCCATCAAGAAACAGGACTCTGAAAACAGTATGGTGGTTCCTCAAAAAATTAAAAACAGAATTACCATATGGTCCAGCAATTCCACTTTTGGTACACACTCAAAAGAACTGAAAGTAAGGACTTGAAGAGAATGTGCATACCCACGTTCATAGCAGAATTATTCACAACAGCCAAAAGGTGGAAGCAGCCCCACTGTCCATCAACAGACAAATGGATCAACAAAATGTGCCACATAAATGCAACAGAATATTATGCAGCCTTAAAAAGGAAAGGAATTTTTTTTTTCATCTGAATTAAGACTCTGTAAAAGGGGAGGGAATTCTGACACACGCTGCAACACAAATGAACCTTGAAGATAGTATGATAAGTGAAACGACCCACACACAAAAGGATGAAGACTGTGTGATTTCACTCCTGGGAGGCACCCAGAGTAGTCAAATTCAGAGAGAAACTGGACTGGGGCTGCCGTGGGCAGGGGAAGATGCTGTTCCAGTCTGGAGGTGCTGTTTTGCAAGATGAAGAGCTCTAGAGACGGACAGCAGTGACAATCTGCTGTCAGCTTAAAAATGGGGTAGACGGTAAACTGTATGTCACATATTCTACCACAATTTAATTAAAAAGGAGAGAAACAGTCCTCTATACCTGCACTTTTTTTTTTTTTTTTTTTTTTTTAGACAGAGTCTCTCTCTGTCGCCAGGCTGGAGTGTAGTGGCACAATCTTGGCTCACGGCAACCTCCGCCTCTTGGGTTCAAGTGATTCTCCTGCCTCAGCCTCCCAAGTAGCTGGGATCACAGGCACCCACCACCACCATGCTCGGCTAATTTTTTTTTATTTTTAGTAGAGACGGGGTTTCACCATGTTAGCCAGATGGTCCTGATCTCCTGACCTCATGATCGGCCCACCTTGGCCTCCCAAAGTGCTGGGATTACAGGAGTAAGCCACTGCGCCCGGCCTGCCTTCATTTTATTTATGAAGAGACTGATACATTTTATATATGAGGAAAAGGCAATAAAACGATCCCAATGTCATGTATATTAGTAGCAGAATGGTGTTGATTCCAGAGCTCATGTTCTACCCTTTACATCATACTTCCTCAGAATCCCAAACTATGTCTTCCATTCTATTCATCCCTGACCCCTAGTCCATATGAAATCATAAGACTTGCCTTTGGTGTGTCAAGATCTTGTATTAATGCTTTCATGCTTTATGTCCAAGGCCTAGAACAATGCCCAGAGTAGGCATGCTGAATGAATGAAAGGCTTTTCATAGATCTGAGTAGCATATTCCTTGGGTTTTAGGGACTTGGAAGATGAAGCCGGGCGCGGTGGCTCACGCCTATAATTCCAGCACTTTGGGAGGCCAAGGCGGGTGGATCACGAAGTCAAGAGATTGAGACCATTCTGTTCAACATGGTGAAATCCCGTCTCTACTAAAAGTACAAAAAACTAGCTGGGCGTGGTGGTGCGTGCCTGTAGTCCCAGCTACTTGGGCAACTGAGGCAGGAGAATTGCTTGAACCCAGGAGGTGGAGGTTGCGGTGAGCCGAGATCGCGCCATTGCACTCCAGCCTGGGTAACAACAGCGAATCTCCATCTCAAAAAAAAAAAAAAAAAAAAAAAAGGGACTTGGAAGATGGACAACAGTGTGGTGGTAGGGGCTTTATGGAGAAGGTGTAGTAAAAGGTCTAATATATGATGTCATGGGGACTAGAGTCTGGTTAACAGAAAAAGTCAGTTAAAACTTCTATTTAACACTGTACCATAAAGTCAGCGTTTTCAAATGCTGTTCAAAATGTGTTCCAAATGCAAAAGGAAGAAATAAAAATGCAAACTCCATTTTTGTGATAACTAGAGGATATCCAAAATTCCAAACCCTCAAACAGGTAGAAAAGCTGTCAAAAACAGGGAGCTCAGGCAGGGACTCCTTCGCTTCACAGAAGGAAAAGAAGAAAGAGTGCTACAGGGAGAGGACACAGGAGCTGGAGATATCAGAAACATCTGCAAAAATATGTACTTCCTGTGGGTGAAGGACACACTCTGGTACCAAATTAGTTCCTTGTTTTAAGAAGGCAGGAACGTCCTTGGACCTGAAGTAGAGGCTAAATGAGAAATCACACCAGCTACATTTGTCTCACACTCTGTGGCAGTGGAGAAGACATCCTTTGCATGTGAAGATGCTGAGATACACCTTGCCTATCTCGATTGGCTGGCTAGAGACAAAGGGTAAATGAACTCACCCAGAACCCCAAGGCAAGGGAACAACGGCAGCCAGCCCAGAACACAGTCTTGGGAGCTCCCCCAACAAGCATCCTGCAAACAGCTGGTTCCTGAAAAATCTGCCTATTTAAAGATGCATATACAAGAAACCTCAACAGAATCTATATAAATATACGAGAAAAAATTAGGAAAGAAATAGGAAAACCAAATGGCAGACTAAGACCATAGACTGGGAAAAGGGCTCCCTAGATAAAGTGGTAAAACAGTATTTTACACAACAACAAAAAAAGAAAACTTGATAAAATAGTTGCCTCATGAAACAAGAGCTCAAAGCTGAAATGCAGGAGCTTTGGCAGACGCAGGGAGACAAGAAGAGAAGGCAAGCTGTATACGAGCAGAACTGAGGAAAGAAGTGAAAGGAAAAATACTGTTACAGAAATGAAGGTGAAACTGGAAGAAGTGAAGGGAGAAGAGACAGTCGTGTGCTAAAAACACACTAGGAAAAGGGGAGATACGGGAAAAATAAATGAAACCAAAAAGGGCTAAAAGGAATAGAGAGGAACAGTTACAGAAGACAGGAAAGGAGATGCAACATTTGCATAAAAGACAACTTTAACATGAATGCGAACGATATGTAAAGATATGTTCATAAAGATAGAATCCAAGATGTTTCTGAACTATAAGAGGACTGGGGTCTACATATTGAAAGGTCACACGGTATCCCAGGGAAAACAAATTCAGAACAGGCAGTGCCAAGAGACACCTTTAGGTAAGATTTCTGGGTTTCTGCAACCAGGCAAAAAGATCAAATCACTTAAAAGAGGGGCAAAATCATGAAAATGTCCACATTAATATTTAATGCTAACAGGAAAAAGGAACAATATTGACAAAATTCTCAAGGCCAGAAGTGTGACTCAAGGACTTTACCCCCAGTCAACTGTCCAGCAAGGGTAACAGAATGGGGACCATTGTTCCCAAGTATTTATTTTTCTTTTATTTTTTTTTGAGACGGGAGCTTTGCTCTTTCT